GTTGTATAGATCTAGACTCTGTTGTTGTCGTGCCCGGCGAATTTGGCGGGGGATCGGCGCCGCGACTTTGGCCATGACTTTTTTAACCAGCCTTGTACTTAGTACTTTTAAAAGCATTATTTTCTTTATGATTCTGAGAATCGAGAAAGCGAGGCCGTTGATAGCTCTATCATAACCACACACAAAACAAATGCATCGATGACGCGTCGCCAACTGTACTGGGTGATGATGGCAGTACGTGCCAGTGGATCAAGTGCTTCATTCGTGACTTGTAAGCTTGAGAACTACCTAGGTACCAGGAGAATGACGAATACATGAGCAAGAAAGTGATCATTCAATAAGATGCTCGCATGTGCCCGACAATATTTTGAAGTACTATCCCATCGACCGGTGAAACTGCTGCCAAAAGAAAGGCGCTAAATGCTCTCGCTAAAATCCATAAGATATGACACTAATGGGTGCTGGATTGCTGGATTGCTCGCTAGCTGATGCGCTTATTCCGTCTAAAGCTAGTGACAAGAGACGACCATATTCTTTGGCAGCAATTTCACCGGTCCATGGGATACTACTAGTAAGTACTTAGCCATATGGCCATCATACATGCATGGACTTTAACAGCAGCGAGAGTACAGATGAGCTTTGGACCGGGCCATTCACCATTGGCGGCTGTGGTCGGCTGTGAAGAGATTTGGACCGATCCAAAGCTCTTTGGAGGCGATGGGGATTTGGACCGGAACATGCGTCACTCACTAATAACACACCTTTCGAAAACCCTACGCATCCCAAGATTTGTTGAAAAAGCATGCCACGAGAACCCCAACTGGACATCTCAAGATATACGTTCGTCGTACGAGTCATAATCACTTCAAAAGAAACACTGTAGACAGTTGTACGAGCCTCAAACAAGAACGCACCACCCGGAAGAACTCACGCATTCCAAAGCGGCACGAGTAAAGAATCATTTCCCATTTTCACTACACGAGTCGTAATCACTTCAAAAGATATTCTACAAGAACCCCATACGAGTCTCAAACAAGAACGCGCCGCCGAAAGTTCGTACGCACCCCAAAACATCATGAGCGAACATTCACTTCCTATTGCGCCACACGAGTCGTAATCAACTCAAAAGAAATGCTGCAAACCTCCAAAGGAACCTCAACAAGAACGCACCACCCGGAAGAACTCACGCACCCCAAAACATCACGAGTAAACAATAAGCTCCCGGTTTCACCACACGAGTCGTATTTACTTCAAAAGACCGTATACGAGCTTCAAACAAGAACGCACCCCCCAAAGTTTCTCGCGCCCCAAAACAACACTCCTAACTCAACCGCACGAGTCCTACTCCAATCCAATGAAACGCTACTAATTCTTCACACGAGCCTCACACCCATGCCTTAGAATCCCACCACCAAACTGCTCACGCTCCCCCAAAACAAGCAACAAGACATATGCACGATCCCTAAGCAATATGTATTTCTACTTACTCTACCACCCTCCACGAATGTGACCTAAGGCCACACTTCCCTCGTCTCCCAACCATCTTTGCTCCGTGTATAGATCCACCGCTTGCCCTTCCCATCCCGCTCTCCCAGGTCGACCCGGTCTACTCCGTCTACCTTCACCACACAAAGTCTAAAGTTCCCCAGCGCTTCATACAACACCTCCCGTCCCGCTTTGAATTCCTCCTGCGCAGCAGGCGAAGTCTTCCCCTCCGTATCCTGCTGGAGGAATTCCTTCCGCAACACCCAGTCCTCCACCTTCCTCCCCAACCTCCCCATCCCCTCCTCCTCCACCGCCGTCCCAGGCGCCGGATTCGCAAACGTCCCGCGCATCCCAGGGCCGAGGTTGGCGAAGTGCCGGAGGACTTCATTTCGCCAACTCACCAACCCCCCGCCCTCTCCGTTGACGGCGAAGTTTGGCGCCTCGACAGCCTCCGCGGGGCCTTCGATGGCGGAAGTCTCAATGTCCGTTGCGACTTCACTCCGCTGCCCCGCCTCCTTAGGTGTCCCTGCCCCATCGAAACTAAAGAAATAGACCTTCCCTCGGAACCGCCACTGCGGCTTCGTCTCAAACGTCGGAATCCAGAAACATAGTTCGGCGTTCGGATTGGCGCTCAATTCCGTGAACTTACTCATCCGCGCATCGGTTGTAAACGTCAAGAGAGATGAAGACAGCTGCGGAGGCTCAGGGTTGAGGGTGCGGACGGGGTTGCGGGGGTTGGGGGGGAGGGAGAAGAGGGGGCCGCGGAAGATGCAAGTTCTGACAGCTGGGCGAGGCGGTGTGGTGGGGGTGATGGTTGCTAAGGTGAACTCGGGTTGGGTGTTTGGGAGGTGTGAGAGGAATGGTGCGAGCCAGGGTGGGTTGGCGAAGGGGGTCATTTTGCGGAGGAGTTTGGTGGCTATTGTGATGGTGTTTAGGTGGTGTTTGGGGAGATATTCAGTTGGGTGTGAGTTGGTGATTGTGAGAGGTGTGTGGGATTGGTGAGGAGATGAAGGGATGGTAAGAAAATGTGGTGCGGAGATGCGTAGAATGGAGCGGTCATCAGCGGAGATGGATTACATCATATCTGGTCACTAGTAGATCACGTTATCGGGCCGCCAGAGTTCGGCAATCACCGGCATCCCCTCCGCTGTCGGCCATTGCGGCCCGAGCAAGCACCATCCAGACTCACAGGTCACGAAAAACAAGTACACACTCAGACCAAGTCAATCCAACTCCTCCGGTTTCCATTCTTCCACCCTTAACTCAACCCCCATCCCCCTCGCAATCTCCTCCGCCAGTATCTGCCCCACCCCCTGCACCCCACCACTCACATCCCCCCCCTCCTTCTCAATACTCGTCGCCTCCCTCCCCACCAATCCACAAGCAGTGATCCTGTTAAGCCCCTCCAAACACTCCGTCCTAACATTAACCGCCACACCCTCCCCCGCCACCCCCCTCGACACCGCCAGTCCCAAAGAACTAATCTTCCTCTCCACCCCATCCCTACAATCCGTCCACACCCCCGTATTAACAGTCGTATGTGCCTCCACCCCCACCCTCCCCAACGTCCGGATGACACTCTTCTCCAACAAACACACCCAATCCCGTATCCTTATCCCCTCGGCCTTGAGATCCACGATGGGGTAGAGGACGAGTTGGCCGGGGCCGTGGAAGGTTGTCTGCCCGCCTCTGTTTGGTTTTTGGAGGTCGGCGAATGAGGACAGGTGGGTTCGTTGGGATTCGGAGAGGTGCTCGAGTTTTTCGCGGCGGCCGAGGGTGTAGACGGGGGAGAGTTCGGCGGAGATGAAGGTTGGGGGGTGGGGAGAGTCGGTGGTTCGGCGGCGGGCGGTTTCGGCGGCGAGGGCTTCGTTTATGCTTTGGAATTTGGGGAAGGTGAGGCGGGTGGTGAACGGCTTGTAAATAGCGAATTTGGAGCCCATGGTGGGATGCAATGAGGGTGGTGAGGAGGAGGAGGGTGGGTTAGTGTTAGTGTTAGGGTAGAAGCGGCTGCAAGAATCGACTCTAATTGGCCTCGGATTATGTGCGAGAGACGAGGCTAAGCGGCTAGACGGATTTGGAGGAAAGGCTTGGAAGCGCTAGACGGTGTTGGGACGCGGCTTGGCAGGGCGTTCCTTCTGTCGTCTCGCTCGTTCTTTGGAACACCAAAACAAAACACCAAAAACGTCAAGATCGCGACACCGACAAAGATGCCTGCGAGAGTTTCATTCGTGAGTCCCCATTGTCTCCCATTGCCTTCCCCGTTTCCCTGCCACCCACCACCTCCTTCCATCACCACTCTTCCCTCTCGGCCGGACACCCCAATCCCCTCCCCATCACCATCTCCCGACCCACCCGAAAGACCCCCACAACTAACCAACCCCCCCCAG